ACTTTGAATAGAGGTAAAGTTGGTTTTATAATCGCACATTCAGACTTCCCCTTAATGATATAGTTTCATTAAAGCATTATTTGCAAGCTCTAAATAGCTAAATCATATTAGCAGCCAATGACTATCAAAGTACAACATCGTTCACAGTTAAATAAACTGTTAATGTTGTTTAGTGCAGAAAGCCTGCAGAAAGTCCCACTTGCATGCTAATTCAAATCGAATATTCAAAGTAACATGGTAAACAATATAGAGACATCTTAATGAACGAATATGTGAATATAAAACCAACTTTACCTCTATGCACTTTGATAGTCATTAGCCCCTTTCACACAGTAATACCGGTAAATATCCGCAAAATTTCCGGAACGACTTTACCGGTACTTTAAAAAAGCGCTGTTCACACAGGCGAGGACGTTACGCAATTTTTCCGGAAAAGAGCATTCACACATCCATCGCAAAATGCCGGTAAATTTTGACATCATTAACTAGAAATGCCCTCTAAACGGCTGCGCTTGTGTTTGTAAACATTTGACTACATTACAAACTCTTTGGATGGATCAGTATTGAGTACAACTCCAATGAAAACATATAGAGGAACACTTTTGCATGTCGAGATGTTCATGATATGTGTGTGTGCTTTCGCTCACGGGCACACGCAAAGCTTGAAGGTAAGCAAACAATGGATTATAAACATTTTATCAATAATTATTTACACAGTTAGCATTAAGAAGGAACATAGAAACGTTATCTGAATAACATCTAGCAGCTAAAGGTGTCTGGAAAAATATTTAAAGGCTTTTATTCTCTTAAACCGCGCGCACGTGAATGCGTCTGACTGTTCTGATTGGCTAAAGCAGGTGTCTCACGTCAGCACGTTCTAGACGTGTACGCGCTCTTTCCAGCAATCTTCCTTCTGCATTTACACGGCACAGCATTCCAGCAAATAACCGGTAATGTTACAACTTCTCTTTCTGGAAAATAGCCAGAACGAATTTACCGGTATATTCAAAAAGGGCCCGTTCACACATACAACCTTTCTGGAAAATTGCCTGTAATTTTCCGGAAAGGTCTGTATGTGTGAAAGGGGCTAAAGGCTGCTAATATGATTTTGCTATTTAGAGTTTGCAAATATACTTGAAATTATATTATTAAGGGGAAAGTCCGAATGTGCAAATATAAATCCAACTTTACCTATATGCTCGGACTTACCTGATTTCTTTTTTGCAATTACTCTCATATAAAGAAACTGTTGAAGCAAGTGTTGAAAAGAAGTTATTTTATTTCTGTTCATTGTTTTATTTATTTTAACAGGAAGAATTTTTATTGTTTTGTTATTTTTAAACAGGATAAAGTTTCCAAACACAGAGGAAAACTCCTGCTGAAGCGACTGATCTCCACACTGTTATAAAGATGGCATTTATTAAAGAGGAGAGTGAAGATGTGAAGATTGAAGAAACATTCACAATCAAACAGGAAGATCTGCAGGAACAAACAGGTTGATTTTCATTCTCAAAGACCAACTCAGTCATATAGAGGTAAAATTGGTTTTATATTCGCACGTTTGTTCATTTAGAAGTCTCTATATTGTTTATAATGTTACTTTGAATATTTGATCGGAATTAGCATGCAAGTATGACTTGAAAACAACATTAACACTGTTTATTTGACTGTGAACAATGTTGTACTTTGATAGTCATTGGCTGCTAATAAGATTTCGCTATTTAGAGTTTGCAAATAACACTATTATGAAATTATATTATTAAGGGGAAAGTCAGAATGTGCAAATATAAAACCAACTTTACCTCTATCTCAGTCATTTGATCTTCATTCAGATATATTTTTAATTAGAATACTAAATTAAATCCATCTTGCAGCCTTGAGTGTGCTGCCTAGTTCTCTTAAATGCACATAAGCACTCATTGAAAGACAGAATGAGTTTCTTTCTTGTTACTTGTTCTCGTGTCTTTTGTCAATTATTTTATGTATTATTAGTCTCCCATTTTCTCTTATTATTATAACTAATTACCAGGGCTGTTGTGTGTAAACAGGGTTTCCACAAGGTCTTAAAATTTCTTAAATTCCAATCCAAATTTTAGCCTTCAAAAATCTTACATTTACTGAAATATTATGTTGTAAATCTTTTTTTAAACAAGTCTTCATTTTCATTTGTTCATATTTTTCTTCCCAATCTGACCAAAACCCATACAATCACCACCAATCCATCTCAATAAAACTTTTATTCAAAAAGATAATTTCAACTCTTTTTATCATAATGGTTTAATTATTTTCCTCACAATAACATTTGTTTAAACGTGCTCCATGTATTTACTGCTGAGGACATCGATCTGGACAGATTATAATGCATAGATTTAGTTTATAATAGTTTTTTAAACTTTTAAAACATTTGTTCAGTTTTTGTTTTTTTCATTTTAAAGAAAGTTTATGTTGGAAAAAACGTGTGTGGATACAAGTAAAGCTTGCTTGTTTTTACACAATATTTAAGATATTTTGCTAAGAAATATCTAAAATATTTTAATTTATTATTATTCATTATTGTATTATTAAATTTAAGAAATTATGACATTTTTTTGATAGAGGAAATAGAAATCTTTTTCATCTGGTCCATTTGAAAAATTCTTTACCCTTTAGCCCATTATGAGTCAAAAAATTTAATTCATAATGGTCTTAAAACTGTCTTTAAATGTTTTAAATTTAATTTGTTGAAACCTGCAGAAACCCTGGTTTAAAGTATGTCAGAAAACGTGGATGCCCCCAATTTTAAATATGCTGAATAAAATGGACACTAAAATAATTAATTATTATAAAACATCGTACAGTATTCCAAACAAACAGATCAAAACAAACAAATTATAGTGGAGCAATAACATTTAGCATTGCACTGACTACAACTGGCCAACAAACTAGTCTAAAAATGACTTTCGCTGATTAAGAAATGGATTACAGCATGCTGATGATATGCAAACATTTGAGTGTAAAATTCCTAAGGATTGACCATATTCTTCATGTACCAGCAGGCACCACCATTGACATCTTTTTACTTGAGACTTTTTTTTTAAAGAATACATTTTTAGATCCTAAAAGTATTATACTGCTAAGGCATAAGATGATATCTTTCGTTTTTTTTACATTTTTTTTTTTTTAGGTTTTTCAGGACAACTTTGTCTCCAGCAGAAAAGATATCCAAAGATGCCATTTTAAATTGTAAAGAAACCTGTGTTTTTGAAACTAATGAAGACAGAAGAAGTCCATGATTCATTATTATATCATTATTCAGCCTGATATGTTTACTGCTCCAAAAAAAAAAACAAAAAAAAACTACTTGCTGTTTGATGTTGCAAACTGATATTTCCTTATTATATTATTCTACTTGGTCTATATAGTCATGCAAACAATTGTTTGTAGAGCAAGTAGCAAGTAAAGCAAGTTTACTATTTCTAGTCATTTCTCCCATATTATGTGTAGTTTTACTTTCTGAAAATAAAAAATATTTAGTATGATTGCATGTCATACATAATGTCCACATAATTCACCATCTCCTCGTAATATCTGTGTAATACTGATGTTGTTATACATATACAAGGGCAAACGCACACACAAACACATATAATTACACTCTTTTACACACACAGACAGACGCGCGCTCACACACACACATATACACACACACACACACACACACAGGTACAATCGCACTGTTTCTCAGACTCTCTCTTACACACATTATTCACTCTCACACACAAACACACACACTCACACTTTGGGAGTTTTTGAAGTTTGATTGATTGGTTAATACCACAGTAAACAGGAGTTCCATCTTCTGGAAGCACTCGTGAAACTAAACTAAACAAGCAAACTAAATCATGTTGCACTAATTCACTTGATTTAGATTTTATTGTAAAAAAAATAAAATAAAGAAAAGAAAGAAAATGAAAAAAAAGGAAGAAAAGAAAATGTGTATATTACGGTGTTAAATGAAATATTTAATGGCTTATTGCTATAATTTAGTATTCTAAAATGTTTTATTTTGATTGTTTTTAATTAAGCTGGTCTTACACTTCATATTTTCAGATTTTTATATAATATTTTCTGATTTTTGGTTATTGTCTTCACCTTCTCAACAGAAAAGGTGCGATCAGCTTTAGAAATGAAAGCGCTGTTCACCGATGGCGGGAAGAACAGCCGCGGTTACAGTCTATGCACATTGTTGAGCGCACATTGTTGCGTAGCAACAATGAATATCAACAGTATAATGTGGAGACGTAAAGCATGTAAACATGACATTATCACTACAGTACCATAATACACAGAAACATAATTATAAACCCCTCAGTGGTTTATTTTAATACAATGAGCAAGAGTGCCAGTGCTTTAACACACATAATACACTGTTATCACAGGTAATCCGTAATAGACACAGTGGAGAAAACTCGCACCACTGGCACTCTCGTGTCCGGATCCAAAATTATTGCTTAAACAGACAAGAGGAGAGGAAAAGTTACCTTACAAACAGGCCAGTGCAGCAGGTCATATGTCCAAAGTGAGAGAGAGGCAGAGATGGAGTTTTACAGCATTTCTTCGTATAGTGAAATAGTGGCTTGTGTGCTGTGCAGCCTTCACTCCCCCTCGCCTCCATCCTAGTATCGCGACATCGTGCATAGGAGATAGATTTGGAAAACTGAACTGACATGGTTTCAATTCACTATAACTTCTATGTTAAGCGGCTTTGACACAATTAACACTGTAAAAGCACTAGATAAATAAAGATGACTTGAATCAGCTTAAATGTGTACACGTTAATGGACCAAACACAATATGATCTCATTTATTTTACATTTAATGTGCATCAAAATTACAGTGTGTGTAGCCAATGTTTCCAGTGTCTTTTAACTTTTCAGCTTTTGATGAGAGTTTTAAAGACTTAATGAAAACTAATGTTTTTTTTTTATTTCAGACCTAATTGAAGAGTACGAGGGGAGTAAAGAGGAGGAACATCATGTCAAAATTGAGGAAAAAAATCATTTACAGACTGATGGTATTTTTAAAAGGAGAGACACAAATCGCTTCACCTGCACTCAGTGTGGAAAGAGTTTTGGAAGAAAAGACATTCTTAAGATTCACATGAGGATCCACACTGGAGAGAAACCATTCACATGCTCTCAGTGTGGGAAGAGTTTCAACCGATCAGAACACCTTAATGAACACATGAGGATCCACACCGGAGAGAAACCATTCACATGCACTCAGTGTGGGAAGAGTTTTAACTGCTCATCAAACCTTAATAAACACAAGAGGATCCACACTGGAAAGAAACCATTCACATGCACTCAGTGTGGGAAGAGTTTCAGTCAGTCATTCAACTTTAATCTACACATGAGGATCCACACTGGAGAGAAACCATACACATGCACTCAGTGTGGGAAGAGTTTCAGCATATCATCATCCCTTAATCTACACTTGAGGGTCCACACTGGAGAGAAACCATTTACATGCACTCTGTGTGGGAAGAGTTTCAGCCAATCAACATCTCTTAATAAACACATGAGGATCCACACTGGGGAGAAACCATTCACATGCACTAAGTGTGGGAAGAGTTTTAACTGCTCATCAAACCTTAATCGACACATGAGGAACCACACTGGAGAGGAACCATTCTCTTGCACTTAGTGTGGTATGATATTCAGTCCATCATCATGCCTTAATATACACATGGTAAGCCACACAGGAGAGAAACCATTCACTTGCACTTGAGCCACGGTCACACTGGACTTTTCTCCCCATAGACTTCCTTTCATAGACGAATGTGTCAGACCGGAAACGTTCGTGCGTAAAGTTTCGCAGTTCAATGCGTTGCAAAGTTTAAGCTTGGTGAACTCTGACCTGCGAAATCGCATCACTTGACTGTGTGAAACTAATCGAAAATCAAAACATGACCTCTGGACAGAAATTTTAAAAATGGACCAATCACTCACACTCCAAATGCTTTTTTAAATGTCTAATCATCTTGTTTAATCCCGCTCCTTTTCGCAGCGCCGAACAACAGAATTTCGCATGCTCAAACTCTAGTGTGACCGCAGCTGCGGTGTGGGATGAGTTTCAGCAACTTCTCAGACCTTAATAAAAACATGAAGACCCACACTGGAGATAAACCATTTACATGCACTCAGGTGGGAAGAGTTTCAACCGATCAGCAAACCTTAATGAACACATAAAAATTCACACTGTTGTGAAAGAGTATGTGCTTGAGTGTGGGAAGACTTTTATTACAAAATTTAAACTGCACCAGACATTTCACACTTGACAGACCGTACAAGTGTTCACACTTTGACAAGAGGTTTAATCAGTTAACACATCTGAATCACACAAAAGAGAATTCACACTGGAGAGAAACCGTACAGATCTGATCAGTGTCTACAGAATTGGACAGAAGGTTGCACACATGACATGAATGCAGTAAAACATTTTCTCATGTGCAAAGGATGTTTCATGTCTGAATAATGTTTGAAAAGGCTGAGTGACGGTATACTGTTTTCCAACACTCTTACACTGCATTAGGTGGGTTGTAAATGTGTTGTGCTCCTCGCGTTTACTGTAAACAATGATGGCGGCTGAAAGAAGAACAGTTTCATAAACATCTGGCAAACAGCACCTCTGCGGCTTAAAGTCTCTTTGCAAGTGATTGTACAGGTGCGGATACATCTGTACTCCACTCTCCAGTGTATTCATGTAACTAGTGTTGGTTTGGATGATGTTCTCTGTCTGACTCCCTGAATGAGAAACAAATCACTGGGAAGACACTGCACATCAAAGAAGGTGGAGCTCTAGGACAGTTAGTTTGCAGTATACCAGGGCCTCAAGTTTAGAAAGCCCATTCAATTGTCCTGTGTTGCAGCTTTTATTAGTAAAGTTTCTTTACTTTTAGGTTCAAGATTCTTTCTAGTTTACTACATTTACTTTTTTGAGTAGAATACAAACTTGATGAATATTTTATGATTAGGGAAGAGCGACAGGTTTTAAGTTTTACAATATTAATACACTTTGATGATCCCAAAACTCCAGATTGGAGTATGTGGTAAATCCTGATTGGATGCCTGCATTACTCATTAATGGGTATATAAAAGTTGTTTGTGCTAGCCACCCCAGGACCTGTGGCTACTTAGGAGTCCTCATGTCAAGACCTGCCATCTCATTGACTCTTTAACCTTATGGTTTTGTTTTACATTACCTATATAATGTAGTTAAAGTGTTGTTGTGATTATATCCTCTTTATATCCTAATATCCTCCTTATCCTAAGTTTTTTATCTTCATTATTATCCCTAGACATTTGTTGGTTGCTTTGATTGATTGTTTTATGAGTTACATTTTATAATAAATAATTTGCATTCAGGCTATTTTGTTAGTTCATCTCTCTTTTATGTTGTGACTCAAGCAAGTGGGTCATAACACTTTGTGAAATGTGTTCGGTTGTATTCGAGATCTTGTCCTTTCAGTCAAGACCACAGGTGAGAGTAGGAACCTAGATTCAACAGTAAATTGAGAACATTGCCTTTCGTCCCAGCTCCTTCACATACACTGCATTACTGCTGCCGCTGCATCTTTAAATCTCACATTCCATTTCTCATAAAAAAAAATGCAGCTACTTGAACTCCATTTGGGATAAGGACTGGAGATGGCCACCTTTTTTCCAGTCAAGCACCTTGGTCTCTGACTTAGAGGTGCTGTTTCTCTCCCTGCCATGTCACACTCAGCAGCAAACCGTCCCACTGCATGCTGAAGGTCCATGTCCTATGAAGCCAAAGAGACAACATTATCTGCAAATGGCAGAAACAGTCCTTGCCTGCACCTAACAGTAAAAATTGTTAAATTTTTTAGATCAGCCCCAAAAGTAACACATTTACAAAATAAAATGAATAGATGGATAACCATTGTAGTGGTGGAAGGGGAAGTAGGATGGCTTGTTCAACAATAAACCAAGATGGAGCCCTCTCAGGAGGGATGGACCAGTGTGCGAGATGTCTCAGACTGAAGGCGTAAAAATTAAATAAATGCTCAAGAAGCCCCAACCCTTTTTTATCAACTGGCTGTTGGGATGTACTCCTATGCAACCAAGGGTGCTCATTGTTCCAGAGAAATTAATTGACCTAATTATCAAACTTTTAAATATTGTAAAGAAATATTCACAGGCATATACTGAAGTAGAGAAGTAACTTTAGGAAGGCAGTTCATTTTGAGTATGATAGTTTGTTATTTTGAGTACCTCAGAGCAGTGGTTCTCAATTCTGGTGCTGTGCAAAATGAGTTGACAACCGTCCCAAATTAATTTTAGCTCTTACTACTCGGCTTGGGCGGTATCCAAATTTTGATACCGTCAAACCGCCTCCACATTTTACCCTGGTATCCGGTATTACCGGCGTAATAAAAAAAATTATGACGTAAGGCTCAGACAGCATCACCAAACTGTTAGCTTGTGCCTAAACCATTCAGAAACTGAATACCTTATATGCGACCCTTAGGCTCGAGGTCACCTGTTTGTCTTGTTTGTATTCTTCAGCGCGGGACACTCCTCTCATTCACACGCAGACACACACACACACACACAGAGAGAGAGAAAAAGCCAAGCGACGCACAGCACCGCTCTCTCTCTCTCAATTCAATTCAGTTCAATAAGAATAATAATGATTTATTCAGAAATTTCAATAATGATTTACAGCAGTGGGAATGCAGAGAGCTGCAATCGGGCCATAAAAATTAGGCACGATGAAGCCTGAGCCTAACAGGTACATTTTGATTGACAGCTTTATAAAGCCCGAACCCGTTTACAGCCCATTATACAAATGTGCTCATGCACACAGCTCTATTGCCTTTTTTAAGAATGAGTCATTTATATGTTTTAACATAATTTATTCGTAACAAACGTAGACTATATGCCACTTGGAAGTTGGAACAAAAAAAATAAAATAAGTCCTCTGTAACTTAGGTATAGCCTACATACCCTTAGCCATTAAATTGGCTAACACACCAATGAAAAGAAATCTTGCTTAACAAATCAAATTAAAATAAACTCTAAATGATGACGGGTATTTTCGCAATAACGAAATTAAGATAAAGGCTGTGCAAGATTTGTTTCTCCACTTCCCTTCACAATCTGGCATTAAGGTGAAGCTGGATTTTGAAAAAAATATTGGCAACCTTGTATACTCTGTCTACATTATGATTATATGGTTTAATTAATATTTATTTATAATTTAAAATCCCTTTACTCACCAAGATTAGGCTACGTGTTTTTGTGGAGGAACATTATTAAATCCACAGGCTTTAGCGCAGTCCTGCGCTCACGGGGTCCAGCAGCTGAACACCGTTTCACTGCTATTGCTACAGGCCGAGATGCAGAGTTCTGATCTGGCTAACTTTGCAAGTTTTGGGCATGAATGTTTGTTCATCTTCTACCATCCAGGAACATCCATTTGATTTTCCATGACAGTAGTATTAATGTAGCAAGTGGCCTTGTCTTTTTACCTGTCAGCTTGCGGTTTGCCCTCTACCGTAATACGCAGTGTATGAGCGACCGCCGAAATAGCCTACCTTGGTGGTGACTGCTTGTGACCCAGCTAGTGAGCTAGTGATGCATTCAGCATAAATGTCTCCTAAATCTGCGCCAAGGTGAAGATTTTACAGTGAAAATAATGAAAATGTATGCACTACAGTGAACTGCAACCGAACTCTCGTCTCCTCCACCAGCTGTGGGAAAAGCCATTATAACGACACTGATCTCTTTGCCATGCCCGTAACCTGGGAGGGGTTCCCCACGGCCAAAACGTCAGGAATCTGTCCTTTTAAATATTTTATGTAATTTATATATATATATATATACATATATATATATATATATATATATATATATATATATATATATATATATATATATATATATATATATATATATATATATCAGTATATATAGATCAGTATATTGTAAGAAAGTGTCATTTTAAATAAGTTTGCCCAGTAATTTGTATCCTATAGAGCCTCAAAGCGACAATAATGTGACGCAAGTCATGTGACATAACCCACTGAGTGATAAGATTTGAATCTTTATGGCGACATCCATGGATACTGAGTCACGCTGTGGGTCGAAAAGAGCAAGAAGACAGAAAAGGCAGGCAGCGGCGTCATTATTGCAAAATATTGAACATATGTTTGACTGCCAAACAGGGTAAGGCTGATGTTACTTACTTTCTAACAGATGAAAATATGACCCGATCCATGAGGTTCTAGGCTAACTGGCCGCATTAGCCAGCCGGGACGTCCTGTATATGTATTGATTGTCCAGTAAGTTACATGATCTCCCTTTCTCTATTTTTGACATTTTGACAACTGTCCGATGAAGGCTTTAATAGCAAGTCCTTAGCTGTCAGATGTCACTTCACGGCAAAAGGCACTGATCCCGTCACGTCTGTGTTTTTGAGGCTGTTTTGTCAATTAATTTTTTTTCCAATCGGATATAAATCTGATCCCTCAAACCACTTCAGAAGAGGATCTGGGATGCATTCCAGATAAAACTGGATAGGTGTAATCATTTTTTGGACAAATTTAATATAAACAAAATAAATTATGACCTGGAGAAAATCTGACCTGTGCATGAAACGCCTGTAGGTGCGCTTTTAC